GGAGATGAGACAGGAAAAGCTCTGACTCGCCACTGCAATCCCATACATATATATATATATATATATATGGGGGCTTTTGTATCATTTAAGATTTCATATATTTTGTATTAAAAAATTTAGGATAAAAGAGTCAACTCGCATATGCCAGAGGTTAAAAAATAAATTGAGGGTGCAAATGAAGTTAAAATCAAAATTTTTATCTAACTGAAATATAACCCGACCTCAAAAAATGTGAGTGTAATTTATCCTTATTATTATTAGTTTTGGTTGTATAAGAAATGAAGGAATGTTTTTATACTTTTTATTTTTATTACCTATGTACCCTCACCATATATATACGTGAAATAATTTCAGCAGAATTTAACAAAGTAATTTTGTAAATAATTGAAAATTAAAAGTGGTATCACATATTTGTAAAATAGTTTTTCTTTCTATCCTCCCATCTTTCACCCAATTTTGAATGGATGAAAAAACACGAGTTACCAGAAATGCTTAGTCCTTCCTTTCTTCCTCCTCTTTTTCCCTTCCAACTAAACATAATAAACTTCTTTTACCTTCATCTCTTCCATTCCTCAATCCTTCCTTCCCCCACCCCCTTCTCTCTCCTCTTGCTTTCTCTCTCTGATCCGTTCAACCGGCAGTTTAGACTTTTGAGTAATTTGTCAATATACAGACGGTGTAGAGTGCTAGTGAGTTTTTATTGGCAATTATATCGTTGAACCTACCCCTTTTATTAGCCGGTGTTAATCCTCTTTCCAAAAAGTTAATTTTCTAGTTGAGGGATGTGGTTTAGATCTTGCTTGCGCTATTTTGTTTTGTAAGGTTTGTTTTAGATTTTTTCACTGAGAATACATATGTATATGGTAGCTTAGTAGTATGTAATTTTGTTGGTGAGTAAAAGATTTTAAAAGTTTAGTAAAACCTTTAATTTGATATTTATATCTCCTTTAATTCATATTAATTAATATAATATTAAAATCAAAGATGGTGAATTTTTCATTACAAATGGACATGTTTAATTTAAATTTTAGACATATTGAAAATACTATTTGTGGCCCACATATATATTGAAAATTTTACACATTAAAAATTTCACTAGATGTTATACCCTTTTCCAATACATTGTGTGGGACAGTTGTTCCCTAACTAATTCTTTCTTTGATTTTATTTACTATTTTATGTTTCTTGTAATTGTAATATAATCTATTTTTATCGTGGTTGGATTTGTTTATTCCCATGATACAGTTATCTATTTATATGCATCAACGCGTCATAATTATTGGTTAACCAGAACTCTTCATATAAATATCTATATGTTAACAAACTTCATGCTCTTTTTGAAATTTAGAATCTTCTTCCATGATCTTTCACAAACTCTCCAATATTCTAAAGAACAATGCTTGCCTCTTATGATGAGGTGGCCCAATAAAATACTACCATGTGTTGAAGTTTTTAAAAAATAAGAAATAATGGTTACAAGAAAAAGAAACCCTCGTTCTCTCTGACGCAACTCCTGTGTTTTATCCCTCAAATTATGGACCTCGCCGTCGATTGAGATTTTGTTCGCCACCAACTATTTTTATGGACCACCGCGGCCCGCCACCAACTATTCACACAGCGCCCAATCAATTTCACAACCAGAGTTCACATCATGTAAATATCATCAAAATTACCAATCACTGGTGAATATGAGACCCAAAAAAGAGTTGATTTGGTGGTCGTCTGTGATGGGGTACCTGATGGTGGGAAGAATGATTTTAGGAGGCGGTGGTTGTCACGTATGCTAGTGGCCTGGAGATGGGTTGATTGGTTTAGTGATAATGGTCGCCGTCCGTTTGAGATTTGTTCGATTTCCCGTGGTCATTATTATTATTATTTTTAAAACTTCAACACATGGTAGTGTTTTATTGGGCCACCTCATCGTAAGAAGGAGATTCCTTCTTATACGGCTTAAGACAAGCATTGTTCTATTCTAAATGTTTTATATATTTATTCAATACTCCACAATCTCTTCACAGAATTGAAAAACTCTATAACATGGATTTTTAGGAAACCAAATTATTTTAACATAGATGAAAAAGTAGTCCTAAATTCAGCATTCTATTTTTTTTTTTTTTTGGTGAGTAAAATATGCACTATTAATTAGTTAGTAAACTAACAGATTTTATTTTAAAAATCTCTCTACTGATACATAATGCATTACTGGGATGGGGACAATTTAAACTAAATGGATTTTTAGCTAGTGTTGCTCCGCAAGAAAATGAAATGGACTTAGCATTATTAGTACCAAATGTCTTTTTTTTATTTTTTATTTTTTTTTTTAATTTTTTTGGGAAAACAATACCAAATGTTAAGGAGCCTCTGATTGTCATCACTATTTTAATAGTATGCTTGATTTTGTATTGGGTCAATTCTAGACAAGCAAAAGGAAAAGTTGATCAATTCATCATTCCTTGCCCATCAACATGGTTATCACTGTTGTTGATATATATATTACACATGTCTAGAACTAGTGCAAAGTTACCCAACTTTTAAATGAAAAAACTATGGATTTTATACAGCTTGCATGTTTGAACAAGACCCGAGAAATTTTTTTTGGTCAGCTACCGTTAAAACAATTATATATATATACATGAAGTTGGGTAACTTTGCACTAGTTCTAGACGTGTAATGATCGATATCAGAAGAGTGAAGTCAAGAAGATTGACGAGTTCAAATAACCTTATCATCCATGTCATACCCACATTTTTATATTCATTCTCGAAAATTGTATCCCCACAATATTATACAGAGAAAAGTGCAAAAAAATTCCCTGGACTATTGGAAAACTTACAACTAATTCCTAAATTATCAACCGTCCAAAAAGAGCACGTGATTCTCACACGACAAACAAACTAATTTTTTTAGACAATAATGCCCTTTAATGTATGAAAATACCAAATTGTCCACGGCCTAAGACGCCCTAATTACACTACTAACAACTTGGGCCAAACACGCCCTTACAAGAAATTTTAGTGCCAAACACGCCTTTACACATACGCCGCTCTCATGTTCATTACTCCATTCCCAGCGGTAACCACCTCCTTCGTCCGTTCATGGCCACCTTCGCTGCCACCACAGATTTTTCTTCCCCCAAAACAAAAATATGTTTTGGTTGCAAAGATCTAGAATTGGAGGGGGAATTGATTGAAAGAATTAACACAACGGCTGCGAGCTTGGCTTCGGATGATGGCGGCAGGCGGTGGAGAGGACGGCGACGCAGATGATGGAGATTCCGTAACCCTAAAGATTTTCGATTCGGAGAGTTCCGACTCGGACTGCGACTTAAAGCAATTGGCCGGTTTGGCAGTGAGTTTCAAGTCTTCTCCGAGTCCATGTTGAGAATGGAACTCGCCGAGATGGAGATGATTAAGGCCAAAGGCTTTGCATTATGAAGCAGAGAAGCGGCGAGTTGAATCGGAAGCCGAAATGACTCGGATGTTGTTGTAGACTCAGTTGCAGATTGCATCATTTCATTTGGGGGTGATTGTTGACGATGGTGGTGATTGATGGGTTGAAATTGGTTGTGGGGGTGGTTGTGAGTGTGATGGAGTGGGCAGTATTGGTGGCGGCGATGGCGGTGAAACGACCGGGTTCAATGGCAGCGGTCCGAGTTGGACTCGGTGGTGGCAGCGGTCCGAGTTGGACTCGGTGGTGGCAGAGGTCCGAGTTGGACTCCGCCGAGCTTCGAACCAGCCATCTCCACCGGCCAAGCACACCGCCGTCCGTGTTCCGAGCACCACCGTAAGCTCACCGCGGAGCTTTGCCTTGTAGAAGTGTCTCTCTCTAGTTTTGACATGGCTTCCTCTGCTCAAAACGAACACCACCTCCCTAACCCGTACAACACCATCACAGCTCCGCCGCCAACACCGTCGATCCAACCCAACCCTCTCTACTCATCGAAAGCCGCCGCTGCGGACATTCTCTCCCGACTCCTTCATCACCTCCCACCCAATCTCTCCTTTCCTACTCGCCGCTCACCACTACCACCCACCACCTCTCATCCCCTCATCGCTCTCTCCGACCCAAACCAAACTCTTTTAACCTATCTTCTCTCTGCTTCTTCTCAACTCGGTTTCTTCCAACTCACCCACCACTCAATATCCTTCCAACTCACAGTTGTTTGTCCCTAAAAACTAGCCCCTCGGCTATGACGGCGAAGATGGATGACGATGGAACGGGTGACTCGTTCTGTTTCGACTCTTCTTGTTCTAATGGTTCACTATTTAATTTCCCCAAATCAAGCCACTCCTTGGTGGTGGTCTGCAATTTGAGTTTTGAGAGGGGGAAAGGGAGAGAACATGGACGGTCAATTTTTGGTCAAAATTACTTCATGGGTAAATTAGACTTTTTATTTTTCCAGTTAAAGTCAGTCATTGGAATGGACTGAATTGCAACAAATTCATAGTTCAGGGGTTTTTTTGTAGTTCAAGGGGTTAGTTACAATTTGCCAATAATACAGGGTTTTTTTTTGCACTTTTCTCTATTATATATATATATACATAGAGAGAGAGAGAGAGAGAGAGAGAGAGAGAGAGACTACCGCATGAAAAGGCATCCAATGATTCTTTAGAGAAACTTCAAACATGTTAATGGAGGACCAATCTATGACACTTTATTATCGTATAGTAGGCAATGATAATTAATTAAGTAATAATGAACTGCATTAAATTTTATTTAATCTGGTAAGACTGGTAATAAACTATCATTATTTTATTAATCTTAAAATTGGCATTGTCTTTAACTTTGAAGGGTTCATTCTGAATTTTATAATAGTCTTGAACAGTTTATAGGATCAGTAGGTCCTTAATTTCCTTATTATTTATGAACATTCATTGTTCATATATATTAAGCTGAAGGATGAACAAATAAAACATGTTGATAACAAATGTTTCTTAATTGAAACTCTCTTAATTAACATTAAACCTCAGCAAAACAAAACACACAACACAACACTACCATTTATTTACAAAAACACTCTCTTATTATTATTATTTGAGGTTCAAACAAACCTTATTTCACCAATTAGTCACAACTCACAAGTGACTAGTCTAGTTAAGGACTTCTTCTTACTCCGCATCATTACTTCCATACATTTCCAGAGGGAAAAGAGAGGACCCTCTAGGGCAAAACACAACCCTATAGTTAGTCCCACCAGGACAGGTGAATGTGCTTGTAGGATCATCCTGAGGGTAACTATAGGCGTCACGGCACCTCTCCTTGAAAAACTTTGAATAATTTGTAGGCCCACAAGGTCCCTTTGTGCAGCAGTATTCATCCGTCTTGAATGTAGTGCATGGGTTGTTACACCCGCCCGGGACCCGCAACGGATTCGGGCATTGCCCATTGATGTCGGCCGTGCACAAAATGCCCCGGCAACTGCCCGTGGTGGGGCTGAAGTCCATGGGGATGTTGAACCCATCAACCAGGGATATGTCGTAGAAATCAAGGTTACCAAATTGGTTTAGTGCGTATTCAGCTAGGGTGTTTGGTGGGACACCCCATCCCTTGCAATCCAAGACCCCACCACAGTCCCCTGTTTGGCAATGGCCCCTCCCAGCAGCATCAAAGTTGCAATTGGTCCGACCCCAAATGCGAGCCATCTTGGTGCCCGCGGGCACGTTTAGGGTCCAGGTTTGGCCCCGGTTGAGGCGGCGGCCGCCACCTGGGGACGCGGCGGCCCAGACAGTGTAGGGGCAGTTGTTGCGGATGTCGAAGGTGGCTGCATTGGTGGTGCTGAAAAGGGCGAGGAGGAGGAACAAAGAAAGGGTGGCTAAATAGCCCATGTTGTTGGTAGGTGATACTTTATTTAGACTAGGTGTGTGTGTGTGTGTTTTAGTTTTGTTGTTTGGTTTCTCTGAGATGGTTGGGGGTTTATATAGAGCAGGGGCGGCTTTTGGGTTCATGTAAATAAAGCCACATGATGACTGGTATTAAAAGATGGAGGCGGCTACACGTAATGACTCATAATGGAGATAATGTCAAATTTATGGAATAGGTACAGTGCAAGTGTCAATTTTTTGTAATTTTCCCACTGCCTTTTTGGTCATCTTGGAATCATCTTTTCTTACTTTTTCTTAAAGAATGAACAGTGATGGTGAATGAAGCTTCCTCTTATCTTTTAAGTGATTGAAAATGATTAAAAGTTTAAACGGTTCATTGTATCATACCACTTTGTCATTGGGATGGTATATCCGATCTTTTTAGTTCGAATCTCATGCAAAATATTTGTGAATTTGTGTGTGAGTATTAACCTAATTAAAAATAATATATGATACCATGTAAAATGGTCCAAGCCCAAGTCATAATTAATTGGATTTTTCCATAAGTTCCGTAGAATGCATGGTAATGGGATCTATATTTGAATAGGGCTTAGATTCTCAGTCTTTATTTTGGGCTTTCTCTCCTTTTGTTTGGGCCTATGCCTTGTTTGTTTCGCTACATATTTTAAAAATAACCATTCAAAAAATTGCATTTCATAGTCCACAAATGTTTTGATGGGTGATTTGGCAACAGGAGAGACAGAGAGTTTTGCAAGTCATCCAAGGCCTTATGTGTGTGTGTGTGTGTGTGTGTGTGAGAGAGAGAGAGAGAGAGAGAGAGAGATTAATTTGGCCACGCCAACAAGGTTTCAATTTATGCAAGTCATCAATTCTGAAGTCATCCAAGTTAGATTAGCTTTTTCTTTCATTAATAAGCACTTTCAAAGTAGCAGAAAATATGAAATCAAATCTCAGAAACAATTTTATCCTTCGAGAACACTTGAAAAGTATTATTATTAAATTCTACATTTGAGAGGTAATTGAGTCATATTTTCTTAAAGGTCTCGGAGTGAGGATATACCATTCTTAAAATTACTAATTAATGATTATTTTGACAAAAACCAAGTTGTCAGAGCTTTTTTTTTTGTTTTTTTTTTAAAGGACCCAAGTCATCAGTTAGAGAGTATGTTTCAATTTTAACTTCTAGATGGTATGATGATATCATATTGATTAACCATTTATTCTAACAATTTAAACGGTTAATGAAAGTATAATTTTAATATTAAAATCCTTGAACAAAATATAAATATTAAAAAAAAAATTGCATCCATATTCTTCAAATACCTTTTTCAAGGAACTGACAAATATTTTTAATTTCAGCTATATCTTAGTTTTTTAAGAACCCCACCGAAAAAATTATAACACACAATCGTGTTGCCAGGCGAAGTGGTGAGGGTGAAAGTCCAGTAGCCAAACAAGATACGAAAAAATTGTCCATACTTAAAAATCATATTCGGCTGTATATAAATGCATAAGCAGGTAAAGAGTACGTGTGTTAGAATGCTTAAAAGTTGGTGATGAAAATTTAAGATTGTATTTATTTGACCATATAATCATATGGTTCACATCCATTATTCACTATCATTGATACCACAAGTAGATAAAGTGCACACTATGTGCACAAATTTATTTGACTACACTTTTATGCTCAAAAAAGGGTTGCGAGTCTTGAGACTTTGTAATCTCTTATTGTAGTGAATGAAAGAGGCTCATGGGCAGAACACAACCTTGTAGTTGGTACCAGCAGGGCAAGTGAACAAGCTGGTTGGATCATCCTGAGGGTAGCTATAGGCATCTGGGCACCTATCCTTGAAGAACCTTGAGAATGTGGTAGGCCCACAACTCCCAGGTCCATCAGTGCAACAATATTCATTGGTCTTGAACACCGTGCACGGGTTGTTACAGCCGCCCGGAGCCCGCAGCTCAGCCGGGCACTCCTCGTTGATGGGCGCGGCGCATCGGAGATGTTTGCACACGTCGGTGGTGGGGCTAAAGTCCATCGGAATGTTGAACCCGTCAACATTTGATATGTCGACGTAGTCCAAGTTGTTGGGTTGGTTTAGGGCAAACTCGGCTAGAGTGTTCGGTGGGCTACCGTAGCCTTGGCACTCTAGAAGCCCATTGCAGTCACCTGTCTGACATTGGCCTCGGCCACTGGCATCGAAGTTGCAGTTGGTTCGGCCCCATATACGAGCATTGGTGGTGCCAGGGTTCACGTTGACGGTCCAAGACTGACCGGAGTCAAGCCTCCTGCCCCCACCGGGTGAGGCAGCAGCCCAGACTGGGTAGGTGCATTGGTTCACCACATCAAAGGTGGCTGCATTGGTGAAAGTGGAGTATAGACTAAAGAAAAAGGAAACTAAAATTGGGAGGTTTTTGATGAAACTCATTTTGGAAAGAAGCGAAATGGTGTAGTATTTGGACTTGGGGTTTGTGTTTGTATGGTTTTGTAAGCATGTATAGGTGGATGGTTTATATAGATGAGAGGCGGCTATATATGGTTTGGCACATGCGTGATCATCTCCACAATACGTGGTGAGAAATTTCAAAGAGTGAGTGTCTTGAATTGATGTCTCAGAATGATTTTCCAAGGAACCGTTGAATGCAAGGATTGTTAGGCTGCTCCAGCCCAAAGGCAAATTCACTGAAAATACTTTAATGGTTTTGAAATAGGGCAATGATATCTTCCTACACGAGTTATGTGAGTGGGGGTGTGGACCTTCACTACATGACATCAGGATGACGCCACCAAGACATCTTGCAGTGAGTTTTTTTAAAGTTAGAAAATGTGTGTTTTAAACATTAATGGTATGATATTAAAGACTATTAAATATTAACGCATAGTTGTAAGATTCACGGATCTAAATACATTTTAAATATATGTAACGAAACCTCATATAATAGGTTGGTTGGTATTACGGGTGTAATAAAATTTTTCTATTAATTTTTTTTTTTTTTTTACTCTTAACTACTAATGGAAAAAAATTAAAATTTCTATCTTAAATAATAGGATATTCTAGTTAAAATGCTCAACTATTAATCATGTAATTGTAAGATCATAAAAAGGGATTATGAGATGATTACAAGTTTTCTTTTTAGAGTAACGACATTTAGAGAAATTTGAACGAAATGGAAGCCATTCATTAGATACATTCAACTCGATTCTACAATCCAAGCCACTTCCGGTTGAGTATATCAATATGAGGGAGAGCATTGGGTGTTCCATTTCCTTAAAACTCTTCGACCTTAAAAGTCTGTCATCCTTATTTGAATTGTAGTAAATGATAATGATTGAGAAGTGCTAACGTACCCTAGTATTAAGGCTTAGCCAAAGAGACCAAAGACTTGGGTGAGTCTAGACTCATTGACTGGACTTTCTAAACCTTAATGGACGTGGGTTCAATGAAGACTATTCTCTTCTTATCATTACACGTTCGAGACTTGGGAGTATCTTTAAAGGAAATCAATCTATATTTTCTACTATTAGGCGTCACAAGTCACAACACAATTTAAGTGGACTACGTTTTCTGTTCGTGGAAATTAAAATTCTTTCCAAATGTGGGGTCCAACCCGCTTGATTTATTTAAATCTATATAATGATAGCTACATCAAATTTGTTTTCTATTATGATTAGTTTCTGTCTTAAGATTTTTGAGTAGTGATAGGAGAACCGAAAGGTATCTCCCGAATTAATCGTCGTCACGTCAGATTCTCACCCTTTTTACGTGAGGGAGCAAAATAATCCATCACGTGCCGGTAAAAGAAAAAGAAAAAAAGAAAAAGTGGGAAGGTGATCGTAAAAAGGAATACCGGAAAGTTCAGAAGTCTCAAAAATTAGAGAAAATTTATCTTTATTTTTTTTTTATTTTTTATTTTTAATTTTAGGAATTGACTTATCTTTATCTTGTTATGTAGTATTTTTTAGAATTTTTTTTTCATAATTGATATATTTTAGAATTTACACTGACTAGATATATCAAACTAAATCACTATACTGATTGAATATGCTGGAGAAGAAAACTTATTCAAAACCCTAGATAGAAAGAAAGAGCCAATCCCGAATCAAATAGTGATGTTGTGAATACTCTCGAATTTTTGTGCGTGATTCGAATACAAGATGATCATGTAATTCTTAAAATCAGATCATTGGGTAATACTTAAATCTATTGAGAAATTTGTAGAAAAAAATATTTGAATATTTATGATTTATTACTAACATATATGTAATTGTGTATATATATATATTTCTATTTGTATATATCCACCTTCTTCCGGTCATCTTCACAGTGTTTATCGCTACATTACCTTCTCAAATAAATTTTTTTTTTTTTTTTCAATTTATTAAATCTGGCGTGCCAAGCCACGTTAGATTCGATCGTTTTTTCGGGGGTTACCCTTCGGCCCCCTTATCATTTTCCATGATTTTTACATGATAATGAAGTGTTAGGGTCGTTTGGCATGCGCTTTATTTTTGACATTTTGTTTTTATCTTAAGCAGAAACAATATTTTTGTTGTAGGAATATTTTGAAAAAAAATCGAAAGCACATTTGAGAATCATATTTTAGACATTTTTTTTTGCCCGTGTTGCACTGCTGTTATGATTTTGGGTTATGAGTAGTTGTCAAAATAAGAAAAAATAACTTTTTGATATTTTGATTTTGGGCCACTATTCACAAAGTGTTTTAATACGATGTAAAATAAAACAAGGTCGTACCAAATATATTTTTGTTACCAAAATTGATACTGTAACAATTCAAAAATAAAAATAATAGAAACAAATCACATGTTAAACAGGACCTTAACTTTTTATACAATTAAATTTCGAAAACTAAACGGCTACATACAATATATGAAGTATTCTTTCAATATACAAAATATTCTAAGAGTAAACAACAACATCAGTTTATCGTATAGAATTTTCAATATATTTTTGTCCCAGCAAGACCATCACTAAAGTCGTCGATCATTACTGTATTGTGGTGGTGCAAGACCTTCAATAAAGTCCTTGCCTAAGACTCAAAGTTTCAATAACTCTTTGTCCCAAACACTTAAAAAAGTGGCTCCACTTGTAACTGGTTTGGACAACGAGAAATGTACGTAGTTTGATTCGAAACAATTAGCTCGGACTTTAAACCAAATTTTAACTAGTTGTCGACCCCGCAAGTTATGATAGCACTTACTGGAATAACATTCTAGACTGATATAAATTTTTTAGTAAGAACAAATATATATATATATATATATATATTAGACTTAGGCTCTGTATATTTGAGGGTAAAATATTTTTTTTAAAAAATATTTTTTGTATTTTTTAGTATTTAATTATAGTAAAATATTTACGAAGAAAAAAAAAACATTAAAGTTTAACAAAAATAGCTTATTCATTAATTTTCGACAAACTATTTTATACATTCCAGCCGATAGACTTGACCTCCTTTACCAAACACCGAACATTAAAATTAAAAGAAAATATTTTACCTGAAAAAAAATATATTTTAATTTGAAGCAAACGGAGCTTCAGTGTTAAATATATAATCAAGGGCGGATCCAGCCTTTTTAAATGAGGTGGATTAATTTTGAACTGTGCTAACTTTGGACTGAGCTACCATTATTATTATTTTTTGGATTGGGCTTAAAGTAGTATGGTAAATTATTTATTTATTTATTTTATTTTTTTTTTTTTCAGGGTGGGCTGAAGCCCAGCTTCGCCCACCCTTGGATCCGCCTTTTGTATATAATCACCAGACCAAGTAGTCTTGATCATATAATTACGGTCATTAATTACTCTACAAATGTGCGGTTGAGAGTTCGAGTCTTGGGATAAAAATAAAAATCTTACTTTTTTTTTTTTTCATGTATGAATCTTATTTGTTATAATTGAGATCTAATTTGAATGAAAATTCTCTAAATATTTCAAGAGATAGTTTTTTTTTTTTTTTAAATAGTTTATTGCTTTGCACCACAGTTGATCTGTTCCGACCGAAAGTGAAGCATTCCAGCATTGGTTTAGTTTTGAAAAATAAAACGTTGGATACAAGTTCTAATTCTCTTGGTTCACAGCATACATGCTCCAAATATGGCTTATAATCTATAATTAATTAATTAAACTGTTTTCTAAATTTTAATGTTCATAAAAACATATATGTACAAAAAGTGGGTTAAAAAAAAATAGAAAATAAAGATTGATTAAACTCTTGTGTTGTTAATTTTTGTCTTGTTGATAAAGAATTTTCATTAACTATTTATTTTAGAGGTAATATATAACTTCGTTAATTTATTTACCTTGGTTGAAGTCTTCACCTATACAGTCATTTATTTTATTTGGTTAGAATTTTTTTTTTTTTCAACGCCAATTTTATTTGGTTATATAAAATATATCTACCAAGAACGCGAACCTTTCACCTCACACACACACACAAATGAAGCACTGGGCTTTGTTTTTTTTACGAAGTAAGATGCAGGTCTCCAACTCTCTCCAAAGGTTAAACTACAAATAGATTCCAAATGGGAACAGCTTGCAAGGATTAGTAGCACTGGCGTCCCTCGTTTTCTTTCTTATGATGACATTTTAGACTTACAGTCATCTCTCTCGCACATCACACACACACAAAGAAAAGTGATTACCAACATCTAGTTTCCTTCCATACATTATAAAGCAGGTTACACAGAAAGCATAGCACATCATAACATGTGCTCAAATTTATTCTATATATAAATATAAAACTGATTTGAATCCTTTATAAGTGGATTTTACAGTTTTTATTACGAAAATCAGTATCAGCAGGTGATCAAGGGCAAAACACAACCTTATAGTTGGTCCCACCAGGGCATGTAAATGTGCTAGTTTGATCATCCTTGGGATAACTATAAGCATCTGGGCACCTTTCCTTAAAAAATCTTGAGAAATTTGTGGGCCCACAATTCCCGGAATTGCAACAGTACTCATCGGTCTTGAACACGGTACACGGGTTATTACACCCGCCTGGTGCCCTCAATTCATTCGGGCATTGCCCGTTAATATCAGCTGTACATCTTATGCCACGGGTGCACCCATTGGACGTTGGGCTAAAGTCCATGGGCACATTGAACCCGTCCACAAGAGAAATGTCAAAGAAATCCAAGTTTTGGTATTGGTTTAAGGCATACTCGGCTAGTGTGTTAGGAGGTGCACCAAAGCCATTGCATTGGAGGAGTCCATTGCAGTTACCGGTCTGACAGCTGCCTCGGCCTAATGCATCGAAGTTGCAACCGGTTCGGGGCCAGATACGGGCTCCTGTTGTGCCTGCCGGGGCATTGATGTCCCAAGTTTGGCCTGGGTCAAGCCGCATGCCACCACCGGGGACGCCCGCAGCCCAAACCGTGTAGGGGCAGTTGTTTAGGACATTGAAAAGGGCTGCATGGGTGAAGGTGAAGAAGGGGGTAGTGAGAAGGAAAATGGAAAGGAAGAGAGATTTGGAGAAGTTCATGTCTGGAATGAGAGTAAGTAGTATATGGGTTGTGATTGTGGGGTGGTGTTGATGGAATGGGGTTGGGTTCTTATAGGGGAATGGTGGCTGTTGGCACATAGCTAGGAAAGTCCACATTTTTAATTTTCATGAATTTTTTTTGATAAATGATTGTATCATCATCATATGAATACACGTCACGGATAAAGCAGAAGTCTTTCGTCAAAGCCTTTGCGAAAGGCATCGGTTTGCTGACTTATCATGGAATGCTAAAAATTCAAGAAGAATTTAAAAAAAAATTAATTTTCTATTACCACTTAAAAATATTAGGTATTAAAATTTTTAATACTTAATTTTTAATTTTATCAAATAGCAACTTACTAACCTAAATTATGTAGCTAGGTTTCAAAAAAATTGGCCCCACCCCACCTCCCTCCGCGCCTGTTCACACCAATTTTTTTCTCCCAAGGTACACGTCTTACATAAATAAAGAAAATGTGGACTTGACAATTTAAGTGGACTACATCTTCGGTTCGTGGCTTCTCATATATTGCTTCTCAATGCAAGGCCGGCCTCAGGCCCTCAACCAACAACCTTTAAGAGCTACTAGAACAAAATTAAAATGCTTTCCAAATGTGGGGTCAGTCTTCCATCGCCGGCTGTTTGATTTATTTAAATCTATATTATGATGCCTACATGAAACTTTTTACCATTCTAATTAGTTTGTCTGTGTGAATTTTCAAAGGATTAAATTTACCAATTTTTATTTTTTAATTATTTACCCAAAAAAAAAAATCAAATGATTAAGAAATGTTAGTTTTTATGCAATCAAATGTCAGTAATTAAACGGCTACTTTCAATGGATTCCACCACTTCATTAAGACCATACAAAATATACTTTATGGGTATGACAACATTTATTTATCATATAGACTTTTCATCCTTGATTATCACTATATGGTGGTGGATCAGGACCTTCACTAAAGTCCTTGCTTAAATTTGAATGTTTTTCATTTAGGAAGGCGGCTGTTTGGACTAATGGAATTTAGTATTGTTGGAAAATATTAGCTCTGACTTTGAGTTAATTTTTTTATAATTGTCGACCCCTCAAGTTACTGTGATAACTATTATTATTATTATTATTTTTTTCCGGTAAGAAAAAAAAAAAATTCTTTTGGCTTAGTGTAAAATATATAATTCCTAAATGAGAGGTTGACGAGTCCTCAAATTGTATACATATATTCCTAATATTTGTTAATGTATAGATCTAAAAGGTTATTTGTCATAATTGAATGCTAATTTTGCTTAAAAGTTAGGACTACTGTCTATGATCACAGAAACATATATGCACAAAAGGTCAAAAGGTACGTGAAAAAAATATGAAAATGAAACAGGTACGTGAAAAAAAAATAGAAAATGAAGATTGATTAAATCCTTGTGTTGTTTATATTATATTATTTTATTTTATTTATTTATTTATTGTGGAGGAGAAGAACTCTTACAATACTTAAATCATCTAAATCACTTTAGTTAAATAAATACCGGCACACATAAATCTACAAATGTTCATTATGAACTCGAACCCCTCACCTCTACATGAGAATATATACCTACCATTCTTAAAAGGGCCTAGTTGTATTTAAAATTATTTTATTTTATTTTTGTTAGATAAGAATATTTTTTATTAGTGGGATCATACAATATACAACAGTGTCTCCATTTACGACTAAGAAAATCCATATTCAACAAAGTACTGAATTTTAAGTGCATGCACCAAGAAAAAGCATTACGGAGTTGCATATATAAAAAAGAATATGACGTAATAAAGGACTATGCTTCCCTGTCTTCCTCGTTTTCTTTCTTCTCCTGTCTCTCTCTCTCTCTTTCTCTCTCTCTCACAGACACATGAAGCACAAAACAAAACAATAAAATGAAGATTATTCATAGGACAGTGATTATCAATTTGTAGCACGTACGTACGTACTTTCCTTCCATATATGAAGTTTACAGGAAGAAAAAAAAAAAAAAAAAATTGGCACATCATAACACGTGCTCAAGTTTATTCTATATAGAACTGATTTGAATCCTCATAAGTGGATTTCACAGCTTTTATTGTAGATATATATAGCACTACGTGGTAGTTAACAAACTATATAGTACTGGCTAGGTAGCTAGCTAGTTCAAGGGCAAAAGACAACTCTATAGTTGGTCCCACCTGGGCACGTGAAAGTGCTTGTTTGATCATCCTTATGTCACGGACTTGAACCTTTTCAAGCTCCCGTGCGGCCTTAGACACTTTCAAGCCCCCTTGAAGCGCTAAGTCAGCCTACCCGAGTGTGCTAGCTTAGTGAAGACTAAGGCTAGACAAGTGTTTTGCTTACTTGGGTGTGTAGGAAGAGGTTAGGCAAGTGAGCAAGAGAGTTTGGGAATATATACAACTTGTATTACTTGAGAGGAGAGATTACAACTTGGTTGCTTGGTGAGGAGCAAATGAACTCCCACCTCCTATTTATAGGCCTTTGGCCTTACAAGAACATTCTAGATGTGTACAAATGTGTGGCCTAGATTTAGTGTCTAGAATCCTCCAGAGATATCTACACAACTCTAGAACTATCTACTATGTACAAGACAAGTCTAGAGAATTCTAGAGAATTCTATACAACTCTAGACAAGTCTAGAAAAGGCTAGACAACTCCACACTAATCTAGAGAATTCCGGAAAGTTCCATACTTGTGTAGAGAAGTCTAGAAAGCTCCAATCCATGCAGGCTCCATGTCATCGTCTGCTGGGCGTCTGCGTGGCGCCTGCGTGGCATAGCCTCTTGGTAGCGGGGTGTGACATTCTCCCCCACCTAAGCTCGCGACGCCCTCGTCGCGTCTTCTTGCTTGAACCGCTGGATATGCTCTGCGAACTGCCATAGTGTATCCTCATGCTCCCAGCTCGCCTCGCTATCTGGCAGGTTCTTCCACTTCACTAAATACTCTGTATATTTGGGCACACCTCTCCTGCTCATCACACGATCTGCAAGGATGCAATCAACTTCCTTGTCAAAGGATGCGACAACGGCCGTGGGTGCCCTATGCGATATGCCCCGAGTAAGGTCTTCCGTGTCTTCATGATAAGGCTTGAGCATGCTGACATAGAAGACTGGATGTATCTTCAACTTGGGTGGAAGCTCCACCATGTAGGAGACCTTGCCCACCCGCTTGACGATGGGGAACGGGCCCTCGTACCTCCTTACTAGCCCCTTATGCACGCTCCGGAAGGACTTGAATTGTTGGGGTAGTAGCTTAACCATCACTTGGTCTCCCACTATGTACTCCACCCGCCTTCGCTTGGTGTCGGCCCACTTCTTCATCTTCTTTGCCGCCTTGTCAAGGTACGCCCTAGCCAAGTCGGACTGCTCATGCCACCTCTTGGCAAATTTGTAGGCCGCCGGACTCTTACCATCGCAAGTTGAAGCAATGGCGTTGGGTGTCATAGGCTGCCGTCCGGTGACAACCTCAAATGGACTGTGATTGGTAGCCTCACTCCGCTGCAAGTTGTAAGAAAACTGTGCCACCCGAAGGAGTTTGGCCCAATCTCGCTGATTAGCACTCACATAGTGCCTCAAATAAAGCTCCAGGAGAGCGTTGATGCGCTCTGTCTGCCCATCTGATTGGGGGTGGAAACTCGTAGAGAAGTTAAGATCCGTCCCCATCTTCTTGAAGAGTCCCGTCCAAAATCTACCCGTGAAACGCGGGTCTCTATCACTGACAATATTCTGCGGAACTCCCCAAAGCTTGACCACATGGTCAACAAATAACTCTGCTGCCCTCTCTGCTGTGCAGTCTGCTGGTGCGGGTATGAAGGTGGCATACTTGCTGAATCGATCTACCACCACTATAATGCTCCCGCAACCCTCTGACTTGGGTAAGCAAGTGATGAAATCCATAGAGACGCTCTCCCATGGTCTCTCTGGAATAGGCAGTGGCTCTAGTAGGCCTGCAGGATGCTGTTGCTCAATCTTATCTTGTTGGCACACAAGACAAGTCCTCACATATGTCTCCACGTCATCTCGCATCCGAGGCCAATAGTAAGAATCTTCAAGGAGTGCTAGTGTGCGCCGCATACCTGGGTGACCAGCCCATTTGGTGTCGTGGCACTCCCGTATTAGCTCCTTCCGCAAGTTGCCCTACCTGGGCACAAAGAGTCGGTCCCCCGTAGTGAGAAGTAAATCATCCCTTAGCCAAAAGCGCCGAGTCTTCCCTTCCTTAGCTAGCTGAATAAGGCTTTTGGCTAGAGGGTCATGCTGCAACCCTTCTTTGATTCGCTCCACAAGAGAGTGTTGGGGCCGACTAATAGCTGCGAGCTCGGCCTTGCGACTAAGTGCGTCCGCCACAACATTGGCCTTGCTCGGCTTATATTCGAAATGGTAAGTGAACTCCGCTAGGAAGTCCTGCCAACGAGCTTGCTTGGGGCTAAGCTTCTTCTGTGTCTGGAAGTAGCTGGTGGCAACATTATCCGTCTTGATCACAAATTGTGCCCGGAGCAAGTAGTGCCTCCAAGTACGTAGGCAATGGATGACCGCCGTCATTTCTTTCTCTTGCACAGTATAGCGCCGCTCAGTGTCATTAAGCTTGCGGCTCTCATAAGCTATGGGGTGTTCTTCCTGCATCAACACACCCCCAATAGCGAAGTCTGATGCATCCGTGTGCACCTCATATGGCTTGGAGTGGTCGGGCAAGCTAAGTACCGGCTCCTCCGTAATTGCCCTCTTCAAGTCATCAAATGCCCCCTGGCACGACTCTGTCCAACTCCAAGCACGCGCCTTCTTGAGAAGGTCCGTCAATGGGGCTGCTCTCGCCGAGTAACCCTTGATAAAGCGGCGGTAGTAGTTGACAAGCCCAAGGAATGAGCGTAGCTCTGTCACCTTAGTGGGCGGCTCCCACTCTTGAATGGCCCTCACCTTTGCCTCATCCATCATTAGCTTGCCATCCCGTATCTTATGCCCTAGGAACAACACCTCCTCTTGAGCAAATGAGCATTTCTCCATCTTCACATATAGGTCGTTCTCCCGTAGGACTTGGAAGACCACCCTC